TAACTTCTGTGATACATCCTGTATACGTATATATAAGGATTTTAATTAATGAGGATTCAAATAACAGCGAAATATAGTGAATACACCGTTCATTCTGAGAACATCAACCCATATAAAAGTTGTGTAACTAGCAACATGTTGTCTCTTATTAGTTTACTGAATTGAGAATACGTAGCTGTATAGTTCTACAGGATGTGTAAAAACACATTGAACAGTTAGGTAAATATTGCAAAAGTGATGAGCGCACAAGTTCAGCAAAAAACTATGGTGAAATAGGTAGTAGGACTTCCAATGATTCATCGGACACTGAAATAATTTTTAGAGCGAGAATGATGATGCTGGGAAGCACTTTAATTTAAGCTAGCTTGCGCAACAAAATGACAAAGCTAATTAAACAGCTATATTGGCACAGGTAAGTTAAAATACGGCCCATGTTTTTCCAGCTTAGGAAAATGGTTTAGCCATAAACACAAAGCTTACACGAAAGCTGGGAGTCAGAAGAGTAAGTTATTTAACGTTACCGAGAAGCACGAGCACGTTGTTTGTGATACCAAGAAGCACCAAAAATTAAAAAACCCACGATGTAAAAGATACAAGCATTTGTGAAATTAGACAAATTTATAAAACTTTGTTAGCTTCAGCAAAATGTGACATACTTTAACCCAATGTGTTCTAATTGCTTTTTAGCTGTGTCATTTTTGTGCACAGTTTATTTCAATCAAGTTCATGAAAATAGCTTTTTCAATAAAATAAAGAATCGGATAAGAAACGAAAAATTATACTAAGTAGTTTCGAAAAAAGGTACCGTAAAAGTAATATAGTTTGTTGTAGCTTAAATATGTAAAACTTTAGCAAAAGTAGCTATAACAATATTACAGCATTAAAAATAAAAACTTACGATTGTTCATTTGAAAGTTCAGTAATAAAGCGCACTTTAGATGGTGATTTGTTTTCACTAATCCAGAATATCAAGTCTGTGATCAAAATTGTAGCATTTGTAGCTACCTTCAGCAGGTCGACGCAGGATAACAAACATATTGTTAAGTGAATAATTCTTTTTCAAGGATGCGATGATACTCTATCTAAAAAGAATTTTTTTCTTTAAATATTACAGACTTTTTTCAAAACATAGAAATGAAATCGCCTGCCGTTCAAAATCGATTTTGTAACTACAGATGAAATTATTAAACTCAAAACAAAATTATTTAGATTTTATATGACATTGTATGTATGACATTAACGACGTTGTCACAACAGTAGAAATTAAGTTGAATATAACATTCCAGCAACTTTCAGGCAACGTTGGTTTTCACGTTCGGAGGACGTTGTTTCAAAGTAAATTTTTTGTTGCGCTCAAACTTTGCAATTATTTTTAAAGAGGCTCACTACAGTTACTAAGCAGGGGACTGATGTCAATTTGCACGCGCATATTGTGCTCATGTAGAGTAGATTTTTTTACCTAAACGCATGGCCACAATGACTTTATTGAAGATTTTTTCGTTTTCCTTAGGTAATTTTTGTTAAAAGTTCGTGTGGAGGTAAATTACATCAAACAATACGCAAAATAGAACAAAATCTACAAATAAGTTTTCATGTAGCAGAGGTTTTCAAATATCTCAACAAATTGTTTATAGAACTACTTCATTGTTAAACATAGTGCTTTTTGAATGAATAACAATCGTCACGCAAAAAATCAGAAAAATTCACCACGCCGAAAAAGATACGGTCAATTCCTTAAAAACTATAGACGACAAAAGTGTAAAAAATGAAACATGGTTGCCATAACAATGCTAACAGTTATCCCATTTAAGCATCTTCAGGTTTTACTGGCATTCTTGAATATTCCCGCGTACTTCATACTTCCAAAGCTTGAGTGTGTTTGTTTGAAATAATGTAGAAAACGAATACGTGACCTAATTGCAGGGAGCCTCCTTAAAATAATAAAATTGAAATTTAGAGCTACATAAATATATTCCAGTTTTACAGATAACTTTCTCGTAATAAGTAAATTACAAATTACAAATAAGTTCATTAATCCGTATCTCGAGGGAATCTAAACTCCAAGGTGTCAGTGCTGCGTCCCTAAGATAAAAAATAATATACAATAAAAACCGCTTTTAGTACGCAAACTTATTTTCTTTAGCAAACTTACTTTGACATTTGCAAAACTTATGATTTTTCAATGTATGAATTTTGAGTACATCAAACCACCAGGTTTACCAGGGCCATGCTTGACACAATCTGTGATCTTTTTACATCTACGTATCTTGGTTACATTTTTGTGAACCCGAAGACAAGTCTCTAGAAATAAAAATTGGTGGAAAAGTTAAAACACTGAGGATTATGCGAGCGAGATTTCAGTACATAATTAACTCAAGCTCTGGTTTCTGCTCTTCTAGTTTCAAACACAACGCATTGTGTGAGAACAGATCTTTGAAAGTCTAAAACAGAATGTATACGTATGAAAAAATCTCCTCCAGTAATTGACGGTAGCATGTATTTAAGTATTACACCTTACAGAAGTTTTGTGAATACATAGTACTTACATAAGTGCAATGAACACATCGTAACTATTACGAAAATGTTGTATCAAAGATGTTATACAATTTGAAATGTTCAGATAACCATCATTTCATGAAAATTTCTAAAAATAAGTTAACATTTCTGTATTTTCGTATTTTAAAAGAAATATACATATATATATATATTCAAAGTGTATTACAATGTGCTCTCCCGGCTATCACCATATTAAAATGGTGACTCCTGCACTTGGGACACAGGACGTACGGTTACACATTGTATGGATTGTATTGTAGAGTCACCATAGTGCTCAAACCTATAAAGGTGAGCTTTGCATATCGCGAACACGGTGAACGTCTCCATATGAGACTCTCTACACAAACCTACAGTGCTCAAACTACGCACGCGCAGTGAGAGTAATATACAAAGCGTATTACAATGTGCCCTCCTGGCTATCACCATAGTAAATTGGTGACTCCTGCACTTAGGACACAGGACATATATATATATTTATATTTAAATATCCAAATAGTATTTATATATTATTTATATATCTAAAAGAAAACAACCAAAAAATCTATCTGGAAAACTGGGAGCGCACTTCGTAGCTAAATACCTCAATTGTGACCGCTTTTGCAAAGAAAACAAGATTCCAAACAGGTGTCAACTCATGCTACCTGAGAGCAGTGGTTTGGTTATATTTGCCTATCATAGTAGTTGACAAAAATCGTGTTTCGTTTTATTATAGCGACGTGTAAATAGTGACACTCAAGAAAGATCTTGATCGATTGAAGGACTTCGTATCAGTCACGCAAAATTTAAGACAATTTACTAAACATTAAGTTCACCGCGCAACTTGTCGAAAAAGATCATTTTTTGCCTCTCTCTCCATTCTCATGTAGCTTTTTTTGTCTCTCTCTTCATTCTCATGTAGCTAACTTTTTCCTATTAAGACTGATTACTTGAACGAATGATTGTTTGAATGACGAAATTAACAATGAAGACTTCATATAAATAAACAAAATGATTGGCGAAATTAAGGAAAGGAAAAATATTTCTAATTTAGAGACGTTGCTTATAGTGAACTAATTGTTTATAAATTTTACTCAAAATTTAGTACAAGGCACAACAAAATTCAAGCTTTTGCTCATTGAATTAAATAAGATTTCAAACATTTTATTTTCTTTGCGATGGCAGTCAAATGGGAGGCATTTACGAAGTACTTTCATAGTTTTCAAGATTATTTTTTTTGCTTGTTTCTAGCTACTATTTGTGAAAAAGACCATGTAAAATACTAAATTTAATATGGTGAAACATTTTTGCGAACTTTGGATGAAATGATAGTTTTCTGGACATTTTTAACTTGTCTAACTTCTGTGATACATCCTGTATACGTATATATAAGGATTTTAATTAATGAGGATTCAAATAACAGCGAAATATAGCAAATGCATCGTTCATTCTAATAAACTCGAGCCATATAAAAGTTGTGTAACTAGCAACATGTTGTCTCAAATTAGTTTACTGAATTGAGAATACGTAGCTGTATCGTTCTAAAGGATGTGTAAAACACCTTTAACAGTTAGGTAAACATTGCAAAAGTGATCAGCGCACAAGTTCAGCAAAAAAACTACTGTGAAATACGTAGTTGGACTTCCAATGATTCATCGGACACTAAAATAATTTTTAGAGCGAGAATGAAGTTGCCGAGAAGCACTCTAATATAAACTAGCTTGCGCACCATAGTGACAAAGCTAATTAAACAGCTATATTGGCACACGTCACTTAAAATACGGCACATGTTTTCAATCTTGGTAGAAAGGTTTAGCCATAAGCACAAAGTTTACACGAAAGCTTGAGGTCAAAAGAGTGAATTATTTTTCGTTACCGAGAAGCATGAGCACGTTGTTTGCGTTACCAAGAATCACAAAAAATTAAAAACCTCATGATGTTAAAGCTACAAGCATTTGCGAGATTAGACAAATTTATAAAACTTTGTTAGCTTCAGAAAAAATGTGACATACTTTAACCCAATGTGTTCTAATTGCTTTTTAGCTGTGTCATTTTTGTGCACAATTTATTTTAATCAAGTTCATGAAAATAGCTTTTACAATAAATAAAGAGTCGGATACGAAACGAAAATTTATACTAAGTAGTTCCGAATAAAGGTACCGTAAAAGTAATATAGTTTGTTGTAGCTTACATATGTGAAACAATATCAAAATAAATTGGAGCATTTGTAGCTACCGTCAGCAGGTCGACGCAGGATAACAAACATATTGTTAAGTGAACAATTCTCTTTCAAGGATGCAATGACTTAGGCAACATAAAACCACAAGAAAGTTTAAAATCAACCCACAAATAAGAACAATAACGTTGATTTCCAGTATTAAAATCAATTGCACAAGGACTCTGGCGTCCATTTCTAATGCAGTTATTGAGGAAACGATTGACCACTCTTAAAAAGATATTGTCCAGTATTTTATGACATATTTACTTATTCATGAATGTATATATAATTACTGCAACTTTCAATCGAGCCAGTTTTGAAAACTTTCTTCTTCCTCCACGGCAAATTGTCTTTAGCTAAAATTGAAAGCTTTTTTTAACATTATTTAAATTAAATTGCAACTATGTTTGTATACATTTTTTTGTATATTTTGAGTTGTAAAGCATACTATCTAGCTTATGTTAATATGTTTTATTGAAATTGCAGTTACGACAAGTTATATATCAAATAATTAAACATGGAGCTTGTTTGTTCAATAACATTACACAACGGCAAGAATACAACAATTCTACAGCTCTAACACACATTTATCCCTACAATATTATAGATTTAGTTGTACGTAAAGAATCGACTCTGAAAAGTCTTTATATAGTAAATTAGAACGAACTTGAAGTATTGCTCAATTGTTTTAATATTTTTCTCGCCTCGGAGCGAAGGTTTTTATTACGCCAAAATATCACCAAACAGTTAGTTGTGCTGTTGATACACCAAAATGTTTTCATCCATGTATAGCTGAGAGCCCAATCGGTATTTTTTTTAAGTGCCAAAACGATATAACTGATGATCGATATCATAAAGCAAATCGAGACACAAGCTACCAGAAGAAGACATGTTGATATGGATTTTCTAAAAGACTTTCCTTTTTTACTGTGATTTTCGGATGTTTTAACGACCTTTCGACGATATTTCTTTGAGATAATGTGGAGCTTAGTGTTGACGTAGATAAATGGGAAAATAAACAGTAAACAAAAAAGTATTTTCGAGGCCAAGATATGTTTTGTTATATGTAACAGAAACAACATGGTGGAAATAAAAAGAAAAACAAAATGCAATTTAATGAGTAATGACTTCGATACTTTTTTGTGGTGAAATATTGGATGGAAAACTGCCAAGTATCGCTCAAAACTAACAAGCAACAGGGTACTTATCGAAAAAGAAATAAATACATTGAAAAAGTGAGTAATAGTGCGCAGTTTGAAAATTGATTCTTTTTTACCAATCCAGAATATCAATTCTGTGATCAAAACTGGAGAGTTTGTAGCTATCGTCAGCAGGTCGACGCAGGATAACAAACAAATTGTGAAGTGACATACTTTCTTTTGTAGTTGCGATGACTTTAACCAACAAAAAACCACAAGAGAGTTTAAAATCAACCCACAAATGAAAACGATCCCATTGATTGCCAGCATTAAAATCAATTGTACTAAGACTCTGATGTCCATTTCTTATGTCAGATGTCAGGAAAGATGAACGATTACTCTCACACAGATAATGCCGTGTATTTAATGACATTATTTATTCATGACTACCCTTGTTGCAACAATTTACATAGTCAGGCAGACAGAGGGAAAAAACTTACTGCATTGAGGGGCAATTCCACTATGTGCTTCATAACATAGTAATATTGTTTTAACATGTCGGCAGTGAAAAAATATCTCGTATGTTGTTTCCGACACCGTTTTGTTTAGCATTTTGATAATCTGCAAATTTTGTGCAAAATGGCGTCGAAAATGAAGAAGCTGTAATTAAAAAACAAATAATCAAAAATGCAAATACTAAATGTTATTGCTTGCTTTTGAGAAGGAAGAAAACAAATAAAAAATTACAACAAACGTCGTAAGCGCATGACCCACATGATGGCAGTGAAGACGTTGGGCATCTTGTTAGACCAAAAAGCAGCTGCTAATTGAAAGAAGCACGGACGAACTATTGTCTTGTATCAATGGCAGAAACCAGTCCTGCATACAGCAATCAGCGGGGTAGTCCGTAGTAATCGTCTTGCACTGGCCACAGAAGCACTGCGGGACCACTTGGAGTTATTAAATGATCTTTACAATGAGACTGGAAATTGATTTGGTAAAAAATTAGTGGAAATAATCCATCTTCAAAAGCATCAAAGTGTAAGACATGACTGTTTTTTCCAAAATGGTGTTCAAAATAATCCATTTGAAAAGTTCGAACTACCAATGCTCACCTAACGATGTTTCAAGCAGGATCAGATAGGAAATCTAACTAGTCATCTGTATCACTGCTAAATATGTCAATTTCGTGTCCATCATCCTCGTTTTGAATAATGTTTGTGCGTGCAATGCAATTGCAGATGTCAGTACATTTAAGTCCATTTGCCATACATATGAACATGTTGTTTTGACATCGTGACTTCATGCAACCACAGGCTAAAAATTCGAGTATGGAGTCCAGAGCTGTTTTCTGGCTCATCCAATGACTTCCTAACTTCCCATTCACAAACATCCATCCACGGCCTTCTGTTGTTGGGGACAAATCATTACATGATAATGCTGATTTCCAGATACAAGTCACGTAATTTGCTCATTTACAATGCAATAGCAATTCATCTTTTGTTGGTGGACGTTTATGCGGTTCTGGGATCTTACTTTAGGTGCAGAATATTCTGTAGCGCGCTTCGTTAATATTCTGACAAGATTTAACACCATATAATTACAGCAACCATTTCTTGAACTGTCGGAAAAAGCTTTTCATCAAAGTCGAAAACCTCACCAATTTTCTTTAATCCTTTTTGATATCGATCTGATCCCTTGACAATTTTGTAAGCCTTTTGTTTTCCAACTCCAAAGAACGCACTTGTTGAATCACACTCAGTAACTTCATGAAGAGCTGGCAAAGCGTTTGACACTGCTTCACAAAGACTTTCGTAAATATTTGAAACAGAAAAGATTCTCTTCCTTATTTTCATCTAATTTCAACATATAAATTACAACAAATTCGCTCTTTGTAGTAGACAGCCAAGATTGCAACATCGCTGTCAACAGTTGAGATGCATATACTAGGATTATATTGGTTTGGGTAGCATCCAGGAACGAAGAAACGTATTAGTGTCTGCTTCTTCTTGGTTGGAGCAAAGGCTAACTTCTTTTTTTGACACTCCTTTTTTTTGTTACTTCTAATTGATAACATTCACTTTCAACGGTTTTAATACAGTTCGTTCTGAGATGGTGGCTTTGAAGCGCTCGGGATCTGACCAATCTTGTAGAAAAAATTTCACAAGATCAACTTTGTTATTGCTATGACTTGGGTATTTTTTGAATTACTTGGGTCGTTTCTCGTCCCTTCTTGACAGCTAAATTCGAGCAATTTCTGAATCTTCACGCCGTTTGCGTTCACTACCTTTTAAAGATTCGTCAAAATATTGCTCGGTGACAAAATATATGATTTTACCAGAATTAGAGGTGATGTGTTTCAAGACATATTCGGACATTTCGCCAAATGTTGTTAAACTTATAGAGGCCAGAGGCTGAATGATGACCATACCATCAAATACTCTTACACAATCAACTGGAAGAGAATCTACCATGGGATCTTCTACATCTTTCTCAACAATGTCCAGCAGCTTAGATTGAACAGCTTTTACATAACCTCTATCAGCAGTGGCGAAAGACCAAGGAAAAAGGACCAAAAGAATAGGTGATCTTTTCTCTCAACGAAACATCGCGCTTGCCACATATGACTAGTAATCGGGCAAATAAATCACGATCCGCTTTTAATGTTAAGCTTTTATCTTTAATGTCGCATGATTTTTTAATTTTCATCGCTGTAAACGTCTTTGGCTTCATTTTTTGAATTGGTGCTAACAGATCTTCGTCGTTTGATTCAATTCGTTTTGCCAAGAAGCTGCGAAGTGCTTCTTTCCCTTTTTCTTCCGCATTAATCATGTCGTTCTTAACATCATCGCTGCATTGTAATCCAGAACTCAGATGTACGAGGCAAGTAATTTCTTTAAACGGTGCCCCCACTCCATAAGAAGATCATAGCAGCGAAGAACGCAATTTTTGTCGTGCACCATTCGCTTTCTTCCAAGATCATTTGTCACGGATATAGCCTTGGATATTCCTAGGAACTTTTCCATCCTTGTTTGACTTTTTGCAGAAGAATTACTGGTTAATACCCATCTTTGAACTGTTCCTTCTGATGAACTATGGCCAACAATTCCACCTGCACATTTTTGCTCTTTGTTAATTGTTTGCTCTATAGCTTGATCTGATGGCATCTTGTTGAATCTTCCCGGTTGTCTTCTGACAGAAAAATGACCTGCTTCAAAGTTTTGGTGTATAGCAGGATGTGTTTCTGGAAGCTTTTTCATGGTTACCAGTTAATGTCAGAAAGCGTGCGTAGTTGGGACGATCATAGCCAAACATCCAGGGAAGCATGTTTTCTGTCGATTGCAGATGCAATTTCCATTTCTCGAGATAGATTGATCTTGAAACATCGAGTAATATCTGCACCATACTCAAAAAGGACGACCATACGGATGCTGTTAGACCAAGAGAACCATTTAAGAGAGAATCTTCATAATTTTGTAACTCATCGAGCAGATTGGCATCATATTGGCTATGGTTATCTAAGAGTTGTTTTGTTGAAGAGGAAAGGAATTTTTCTAACTCAACTGAGTTGACTAATCTTTCATAAAGCTCATTCGCCTACTATGTTTGGTCGTTTTTCGAATGTTTAAGCCTATCAATCATATGTCTTTTGAAAGCTTCCTACAGGTATTTTAGGATTCGCATTGCGTTGTTATAAGGCTTTTCCTTTAAGCATTTGGTCAACGGAAGATTCATCAAGAAGATTTGCCTCGATTACGATGTCGCGAAGACCAGCATTAGCAAACCTCCTTCCGATAGCAGCAATGAATATGCACATTGTATGAAACCCGCCAAGCCGAAAAGCAACAAACTACTTAAAATCTATTTACCTTGGATTCATCATAACTTCCACAGCCTTAGCGTATATTGCCATATCTAGCACCATATCTGTCTCGATCAAACCAAGTTTTTCTGCCTTCACCTTTGATTGACTGATGAGTTCCAGAACAGTATTATGGGACGTTGGAGATTTGTTAGTCGACGGCAGGTATCCAATTTTATGGTAGCTGTTGCTGTTGTTGTTGCACAACACTTACTTAAAGTCTGTACAACTAGGTATCTGCTGCTCGAAATTTTTTTGATTGACTTGTGTTCTGGCAATGGTCCAAAGCGTATCAAAAATGTATGAAAGTTTTACTTCGTCTTTGTGTATGCATGGCTGAATGCTAGTCGTGGCTTCTGTATTTTTTCGCTTAACCTTAACTTACGAAGGTATCTCTGTTAGAAGAGGCTGGAAATTTTTTGTTTCATGCATGACTGTGGAGACACTAAGACGTCTACAGAAGAGGGCTGGGTCGACATCATCTATTACATCATCTGATGGCTGGATGACAATGCCATTCATACAGTGCACACTAAGCCCGTTGAAACTTTCGGGATTGATGTCGTCGTTATCCCAAATAAAAGTGAGGAATTGAGAAGGCTGAATAATGGCTGGAGAGTAGGACTTGCAAGCTTGGTCTTTTGAATGTTCCATTGCTAGAGAAGTTTCAAGAATAAGCACATCAACATAAGACATCCCATGGCGCTTTTTGTCCAATTGATAACTATTTTGGAGACAGTCTTTCTTTTGATGCAGACAGGAAAGGTTGTATGCTTTAATGTTTTTTCCCGACCATTGTTGGCGTGGTAGATCAGATCTTGTCTAATTGAAGACACTAAACGCATCACCTTTGCAGATTTCGTTGATTTATTAGTGAGGACTCCTTCCAAAAAACATGTTATCAACATTGGAATTTCTGTTTCTTTGGACAGAAGCTCGTGCTCTACTTCTAAAAGTATTGGGAGTTTCCAATAATTCTTTACGTATTTCATGGTCAACTTGCATCGTTTTCTCCTGCAGCGATAGCTCCTGAAAAACGGTTTCGGCATTGCTTGAAGCTACTGGTTTTGTCTTGCGCTTTTTGCAGATTTCCCTATAACACGATCTGTGATAAAAAAAATTCCTTTGCCAATATCATCTGCCATTCTGAATTCCCAACTTCTGTTTGCAAATGTGGGAAATCGAATTATAGAGAAGCATCGTGCAAATATCGTGCATCATTCTCAGTCTCGCATTTTTCCTATTGCTCATAACAACTTCCACTTTTTGCTGTTTTTTTTCTTCCACACAAACAACACTCGTGATCTGCCAATATCTTACCTACAAATATTTACATAAGTTACTTAATCAACTGTAAGTTTTACTTATAATTTGCGACTTATTGATAAAGAGACATTCGTGAATTATACCTCTTTGATCTGTTTTTCTTGTTGACTCTCCCTATCGCTCGCGTATAGGCTTTTTGACTTTTAACTTGCCGTGAGTATATTTTTTATAACATTTTCCATGATACCCGTACTCTGGCGAGGGAAGATCTTCCCCAAGAGAATCGATTATTGCAATAACTTTCTTATCCTCACGTTGCTTAGCAGCTTTGTAGATAGAGTTTCTGGACGTGTCACTGAACCTAATAATTGATTCACGCGGACTCTTTTCACTGCACTAAAGAATGCACCCGATAAATGTTTTATTTGATGTAAAGTTTTTTGTGGTTTTGACGATGAAATGCTCATATCAAATGCAAACGGTATATTTTTTCGTTTTCTAGAAATGATTTGCCAGACAATATATGCCAGACGAACATATAATTTTTATCTAGTTTATATGAATTATTATAAAGTGCCGCTGATCAAATTAGCAAAGTCACACTTCTTACATCAAAATTATTCAAAATTA